CTCCTGCTGACTCGCTGCCGGAGCCTCAGCCCTGCCGAGGGTTTCCCAGGTGCCATCCGACCCCCTGCTCGGATAACCCAGCGTTGTGTCCGGGGGGAGCGATGGGGATGTGCACTCAGCCTGGGGGCACCCCGAGCTGGCAGGCTGGACGATGGCTCCTTGGGGCACCCTTTCTCTCTGCCACAGCCACTGTGACAACCCCGGTCTGCGGTGGTGGCACCTGGGGTGGGCTTGCAGATGCACCCGCGTGTTGCCACGCTGTCCGTCTTCCCACATCTGGGCGTGCGTGGAGGTCCGAGGGGCCAGCTTCCTGCCTCTGGCCTTGGGGGCCCTTCCTGCCCTGCCAGGAGAGGCTTCGTTAACCCCTGGCTTTGTCCCCAGACGAGGAGTGGCCGGAAGCGGAGAAGGCTGAGAAGTTGGCGAGAGGAGCTGCTCTGAAATGGGCTTCAGGGGTCTTTTACCGCCCTGAGAAACTGGAGGGGCTGGGGCAGTACCGGAGCCGAGAGACGCAGAGGAACAGCTCCATCCAGTCCCGGCTGAAGGTGGGTGTTTGCCTCAGCCCACCTCATGGACACCCGCAGCCTCGCCGCCTCCCCAGGCAGGGGTCCCAGCCAGGGTCCCCTCTTCTGCACCGAGTCATCGTTTTTCTTTTTTTCCCTACTTCTGGCAAAATCTTGTCCTTTGGCTGGCATTTGGTGGGAGAAATGCAATAGTTTTGGGGAAAAGATCTGTTGAACTCCCTCACCTACCCCTGGGCACTGTCTGAAGTGTTAAAATGAGTCTCCCGTGTCTCCGACCATCCTTCAAAACCACACCAAGGGCACATCCCATGCACAGGAGCGAGTGCTCCCCATCCGCGTCCCATCCCAGCACTAAAAGCTCCCCTTCCCCAGGGCTGGGAGGAGCCCAAGAGCTCCAACCTGACCTCCCTGCAGGAGAAACACCATCCCTGCACACATCCATAAGGGCTGTCCCTGGCCCCGCACGCACCTCCCTGCTCAGGGAGACCCTTTTCAGATAACCCGAGGGTTCAGTCAGCCTGAGCACCCCAACCTTCTCCTGGTTATTTTGGAGATGGTTGCTCCTGTCCCGAATGTGGATGAATGGTCCAGGAAGCAACTTGTTTTAAGTGATATGACCTCAGAGAAAACAACCTGTTTCTGGTGATGCCGGGTAAAAGCTCTCCTTGGCACCGGGAGCCGGGAGTTCAATGGGCAGACGTGGCACGGAGACGTGCCAGTGCCACTACAGGGCTGGAGAAGATGGAAATCCATTTTGGAGGAGGGTTCATGTGGCTGCTGAGGTGCTTCACCCCCTTTGTGTGGGGCACACAGGGGCACTCTGGCCTGCAAATATTTGGCAGAAGCACAGTAAACTATTAAAACTGAAAGGCAGCATCTGGTTACTGCTCACCCTGCTGCCTTGGTCACCCCAAAGCGATGCTCTTCTCCCACCTCCTGTACAGCAGCCATTGCCCCCCGTCCCATAAATAGTCGCTGTGACTCAGTT